ATTATTATTTTGATATCTAGACTGTATGATATCAACGTATTATTATTATTTTGATATCTAGACTGTATGATATCAACGTATTATTATTTTGATATCTAGACTGTATGATATCAACATATTATTATTTTGATATCTAGACTGTATGATATCAACATATTATTATTTTGATATCTATACTGTATGATATCAACACATTATTATTTTGATATATATACTGTATGATATCAACACATTATTATTTTGATATTTAGACTGTATGATATCAACACATTATTATTTTGATATCTATACTGTATGATATCAACACATTATTATTTTGATATCTAGACTGTATGATATCAACACATTATTATTTTGATATCTAGACTGTATGATATCAACACATTATTATTTTGATATCTAGACTGTATGATATCAACACATTATTATTTTGATATCTAGACTGTATGATATCAACGTATTATTATTATTTTGATATCTAGACTATATGTTGTAGTTTTGTGAGATGAACCCAGCTGCTTTGCGACAAGCACAGGATTAAAAACACCATTTATAGATAGACTAAATGAAGTCATCATTGTGTTCACACTTTATTGGGACTACCCGGTTATCCCCGTATGAAGTCGGTTAGTCGCTTTACAATAAGAAGAAAACCCCCTTCGTCGAGAGTATTTGTGACTTCTCTTTGAATGGAGGAGGTATCGTGCGGAAGTAACATTTTAAGGGACTACTTTGGTGTTACTGATAAAAATCAACTAAACGTGAAGGACGCTTGGTATTTTCTATTGGAATCTCATAGATAATATATATATATATATAGCTTTTATAGGTTCAGTTTTTTAAGACAATACAAAACAAACTAAACCAGACACAATCGAGATTGAAGTCTGGCTAATTCTGAAAACAAAATATGTAAGATTATTGTTGTTTTATTAATACTGTTGTTGTTTCATAAAGACTATTGTTCTTTCCTTAATACTGTTATTGTTTCCTTAAGATTATTGTTGTTTCTTAAGATTGTTCTTGATTTCTTAAGAATGTTGTTGCTTTTCAAAGTTAAAATAAGGACAAGTTTCCTTCAGTGTACCGCGGGGAAACAAACCTTGATTTTTACGTTGCAAATCCGTAAACTACCGCTCATCTACTGGAGGACTAATACTACATTGAGGAAATTATTCGAGTTGAAGAAATAAAAGAAAACCGTGGGGAGGTGAGGCATATGGCCCCCTCTATTATTTTCTTGTTTCCAATACAGAAACTGGGCAAGTCGGGCCATATGGAGGTTAGAGGAAGAAGGGCCTGGATGAGTTATTTAAAATACAAGGCGGTAAACAAGTGAAGATATTACAATAACGGTTGTGGGCGAAACATATCATTCTATCTTATCATATGTGGTCAAGAAAAGCACCACAAGGCACGCCATTCTTTCTTATCATAGGTGGACAAACATTGACCACAAGTAAAAGGTCAGCTTACACTAAAGAAAAGCACAACAAGGCACGCCATCCTTTCTTATCAGAGGTGATCATAACATTGACCACAAGTAGAGGGTCAGTTTACATTGAAGAAGAGCAATGGCAGAATGAAACCAGTATTTTATATGACTTTAACCTTTTATGTCACTAGAGTATTTTATATGACCTTAACCTTTTATGTCACTAGAGTATTTTAAATGATAAAATTGTTTTATATAGTTTCAGTATTTTGTTTGACTTTACCTTCTTCTTTACATAAATACTTCTATAGAAATTTTATATCACTCATAACTAGTCATTCGTGTAAATGTTATTATTGGGTTTACGACCGAAAACTTCGCTAACAGCAAGAGTGCCCATTCATTATAAGTAAGAACGGTATATTAAATTAGCTATATTGATTGATGGATAATGTATTTATTTCTGATCTACGTAGGAAGTTTGTTACGTGAGAAGCATACACGTGACGTAGTATTGGCGTCGAAAGTGGGAGGACCCATGAACCTCGAATAAAATAAGGGGCGGAACATACTGCTTTGCTTGGAGAACGAGAACATAATAGTCTTGATTTTGTGATGGACGTCATCTGCAGTTTGTAAAAACCCAATGTTTGGGGAGAAAACTACTCCCTACACCAACACTGGAACGAATAAATCACATTTCTCCTGCATCTACTACCACAACACTGTTGTAGTGGTACGTTACACTTGGATATATATAGATATACTACGTTTTAAAGTTCACAGACAGTCGGAACAAACTCTGTAAAGTGATGATAACATTAGACAATAAACCGAGGACCGATATGGCAAAGTAAACTATCTAGAGTGTTATTAGTTTTATGTACCGAAAACTGTTCAACCGTTATTCGATTAACAGCCCCCATATGGACATTACCGGATATTAGTAAACAAAACTACAGAGAACGCAATCAGTATATATATATATATTGCGAATGTAAAGTTTAAACCTAGTTACATAAACGTTATTAATCAGTATTGTTAAAAGGTTATTCTACTTTGATCGCTCGTGCTTTTACCCAATTGGCCTACGAGGAAGCTGTAGAAAGAAACAAAAGCCAATCATCATTAGGAGCAGGAAGGGGAGAATTTTCGAGTGTATTAAGTCCGATCTGCTCGAGTGACGCACTCTTGATGACCCATGAAGACGTAGTACTCGCGTCATTAGTGGTAGAACTGGAAGTAAGTCCAGATCAGAAGTAAATCCTAATTAACTTGATATTTCAAATATGAGAGATTCTAAATTATTTTTTATATAATAACTTAATTACAAATACTTTAATGGAGCTTGGGTTAGAGAGAGTGATAAGATCGCCGACCGTTAGAGTAGCGAGCTTACATCTTTGGAGGTAAGGATATATTATGGTTTTTTTTTTAAGGAGGGGCGCAGAATAGGGCGCAATAAACAATCGGTGCAGCCCTAATGTTAGAGACTTTAAAGGGATGGCAACAAAAGGTTTAAGGGGCGAGGCTATAACAGCTATGAAGGGTAAGAAGTAAGAGTTGAGATAGCATTAAAAGTTTTATCTGTATCAGAGTTTTATCTCTAGTACAGAATAATAATGTATGTAGTAATAATGTTCGTAGTAATAATGTACAGAGTAATAATGTTCGTAGTAATAATGTACAGAGTAATAATGTATGTAGTAATAATGTACAGAGTAATATTGTATGTAGTAATAATATACAGAGTAATAATGTATGTAGTAATATTGTATGTAGTAATAATGTACAGAGTAATAATGTATGTAGTAATATTGTATGTAGTAATAATATACAGAGTAATAATGTATGTAGTAATATTGTATGTAGTAATAATATACAGAGTAATAATGTATGTAGTAATAATATACAGAGTAATAATGTATGTAGTAATAATGTACAGAGTAATAATGTATAGTAGTAATATTGTATGTAGTAATAATCTACAGAGTAATAATGTATGTAGTAATATTGTATGTAGTAATAATGTACAGAGTAATAATGTTCGTAGTAATAATATACGAAACATTGTCAGACGTCGATAACCTCGGTCCTTTGAACATTCAAGATATATTGTAAAACACGACAGAGGTCCCTGAACCAACAAAATATAAATATAATTACTGGTCAACAAAAGGAGTTTTAAACTCCAGCCTTGATATCCATGATACCGAAACTCGCTGAACACACACACATATCAATGAGATAATTCACTTTACAGAACACTAAAAGAGGCTTTGTTTAACGATCACAAGAAGTTAAACAACTAACGCGTAAAACCTATCACTGGAAAAAAAAATGCTAGATCGTTAACCCTCTTCCTGGATAAGAACATTTGATTATGTACATATTATAATTAATTTGGTAATAGTGTTGTATAGAATATTATAATTATCTCCTAAAATTCACTAAACTTGGAAGAACCGACTGTTATTCAACTGTACATGCTTTATTAAAGTTGGACGTTTCTCTGGTAGGCGAAGTTTTCTTTTCGTACCACCAGAGCGGTGAGCAGACGATAAAACCAACACACTCCAAGCTTTACCTTAGGCCTCGTACATGTAATGTAGTGTTAACAGGTAAAGTAATAATCTTCTGTTCTTTGAATTCAGCTAGTAATTATTTACAGTAGGTTTGTATTTCTTTGTACCTTCTTGTCGTCCAAGTCTCTGGGAAATAAAATAGTCATTACATTTTGATAAGCAAAAGTCACGTGATGAACATTAAACTGTTATGAGGGGAAGTGGAAAGTTGGTCCTTCTTTCGTAATAAATTTAATGGTATACATTATGAGTTTGTATAATAAGATGCCGTACGGTTTATTGATGGTAACGTTTTGAGATACTCCCCAATAATGCAGGAGTACATGTTAGTTCATATACATAACTGACTTTTAATTATACGTTCAGCTGGCGGAGATATCTTCGCGTATATACTACGTCATCATTATAGCTTTCCAGCTTGTATAGTTATATGTTCTACTCCTGCAAACCCCCCGACGACACAGTGTTCTTGTTTTGGGTTACGTGTGACACAAGCGACACAATATTGTTTATATGGGCTAGCTGTGACACCAGAAGTTCAAGATCTTGTAACAACTTATGTACTTTGAAGCCCCCCCCCCCAATGGCACAGCGGACTTAACGCTAGAATCCGTGTTTCGATGCCCGTGGTGGGCAGAGCACAGATAGCCCATTGTGTAGCTTTGAGCTTAACTTTAAAACAACAAGAACGTACTTTGAAACAAGGTTACCATGAAAAGATGTAACAAATAAACGTGAAAATCGTGATAAATAAACGACAGGTTCTCGAAATAAGTTTGTTAAAAAAGAAAATACTATTAGAAAAGTAAGGCAAATTTCACTCTAAAGTTGTAACTGTACGATAGAACAACAGGCACTCGTAG